TGAACTTTTGGTTAGGTTCGAGTCTGGTTCAAAATTTGAACCAAACTCAAACCAGACTTTTAATTAGATTCGAATTTTCAAACTAGACTTTTCATTAGGTTTGAGTCTGGTTTAAGCTCAAACTGAACCAGACTTTTTTTGGAATCCTATATTATAGTTATAGTATTAATAATAAATACATAATTATCTGATAATATAATATTTATTAGTAGAAAAAATTTAATATAAATAAAGTACAATTGAAGTCTAAAGAAAGATATTAATTGATTAATACAAAATCTAGCTAGTTAATAAACTGTTTTTTGTTTATTGTTTAATGAAATTGTATATTAATTGATTTTATAATTAATATTATTATAATACTTGTTTTTATTATATATTATTAAACACTCAACCAGATTGTTATAGAATATTAGTACTATATTATTATAGAACTATCCACACACTAAATAAATACAAAAAAAGGAAGATATTTATTAGTAATAATAATTTTTTGTTCTATTTTAATAGAATAAAAGAAGTTATATTACTGTTATAAGTTTTGAACTCTGATAGATATTCTCATAATATAAAAATAAAAATCTAGAATTGCATATTACAATCTTAAAATTTGATTCATTTTATTTAAATATATTGTAATATTACATAAAAATATTAAAAATATATAATAATTTACTTAAGAAACAGAACACAGAAAAAAAATGATAAAATACAAATATTTTACCATTTAGAAATTGTACGCAAGTAAAGGTAAACAGATTTTATTCATTGATATTATAATAATTAATATTAATAATTTCTTTTTTTAAAAAAATAATAATTTTTTTAGTGTTTCACATAAATTATCTAATTTTAAGGACAATATTTAAAAATATAATTCTTTTTATTAAACTAATAGTAACTAAAAAAAATATAAACTAACAAAATATAATATTATACCATTATTTTGTATAATCATTCTTTATCTTAATAATATCATTTACTCTTTCTGATATCAAAACAATTAACTATTCACAGAAATCTACTTCAATACCATTTCATGTGATCTGAAGCTTCACTCACAAATTATCTTTGCTTAAAAGTAAATCAGAAAGTTGTTATAACTATCAGTTAATCTTATTTCAAAAATTTTTGATGGAACTCAATTAGGAGATTGAGCTGATCAATCAAGTAAATTGATCTCATTTTCAAGAAACCAGTCTTGTACTTTTCTTGATACATATTTAGGATTATTATCTTGTTGATAAAAGATTTCTTCTTTATCCAGCTTTTTTGACAATAATGAATCTAATAAATTCTCATTTAATATATCAATATAAACGTTGATGTTGTTATAAATAAGATTTTGATTAAAGAAATATATGTTTGTTATATCAAGATCTCAGATTTTAGTCATAATATAGATGAATAATATTATCGAATAATATATATAATTATTAAATGTTGTACTAAAAGATATTGTGAATTTTCTTAGTGTAAATCATATTCTAAATATACTTTATATTCTTAGTAATATAAAAGTTATAAATCAAATATAATAAATGTGTATATAATATTATCAAAATAGTATTAGTGCATGTGAGATAATTTTGTTGTATTTAATAAATGCAAAGTGTAATAATATTATTCAAGTATAATATTATTCAAGTATAATATTATTCAAGTATTTTATTTAAGTTATTAATTGGATTAATTGTTATAACTTTATTGTGTTGGATCTAATTGATTACAACTTAACTTTTTACAGCTACAAGACCAGCTGTATTTATATAATATTTTATATATCAAATGGAAAGGAAGCATTATTGAACATTTTTATGTCCCAAGCATTTTTCCATTACTAAGTTGTTCCATCCAACTGTTCCAATTATAAAAGAATTAAATTTCATTTCTTGATTAATCACTTAATAATTTTCACAAATCCGTTTCAAAGTCTCTGCCGATTTTCTCAATTTTTCCTTCTCTTCATCATTAAGATATACATCAACAATCCGGTTAACCCCCTTATTCCCCAACACGCACGGCATACTAAATATACATCCATACTCTTCAACAAAGGTACTAAGTGGCCTTATATGCCGCTGATTAAGTACAATACACTGAACCAACGACGACACACATCCCGCAATGCCGAAATATGTCGATCCTTTTAACTTTATGATCTCGTTCGCCTTGCCGATAATTTCTTGTGCGACTTTTTCCTTGTCAAGCTTTCTTATTTCGGGGAAATCGATCAGTGGTTTTCCGCCCACGTGAGCCGAACTCCACGCGATTATTTGCGTGTCGCCGTGTTCGCCGAGGACGTAGCAGTGGACGGCACTTTCGGCTATTTTGAGCGTTTCGGCCATTTTTAGTCGTAGTCTTGTAGAGTCTAGGAACGTGCCGGAACCAAATACTTGTTGTTTTGGTAGACCAGAGAGTTTTTGGGCAATGAATGTTAAGACGTCAACCTGGTTTTTTTTATTGTTTTTAATATTGCTTTCACATAAATCAAGAAGACATGATCGGTATATTAATTGTAATTACCGGATTCGCGACTAACAGCAAGATAACATTTTGATTAAAAGGTTTCATGGCGCCAATTACATGTTTCAAAATCTCATAATTTCTTTCAATTAACTAAGTACGAAATAATAATTCAATTGGTTATTCATTTCGATCATACAAATTATAAAAAGAAAGAACAATACCTTATTTCTTGTCTCTTCCGGACGCTGCTTCGCTCCCGCAGTGATAATCACAATATCACATTGCCCCGCCTCCTGATAAGTACCCGCCCGAATCTGCGTACTTGCGACAAAAGTCGCATCACTCAGGTCGAGTATTTGACCTCTGACAGTATCCTGGTTAATATCCACCAACAAAATCTCAGAGGAAATTTTCTGTAGTAGTATGGCGTAGGCGATAGTTGTGCCTACCGAACCGGCACCAATAATTGCGATGCGAGAACTTTGAACCATTTTTGTTCTAATTATGGTTGCTGTAATTGGTGTGTTTGTAGTTCTTCCTTTCGTTGTTGTGTTTTGGTCCAATCCCTCTCGAAATGCTTTGGTGGTGTAAGGTGATTTTATAATAAAGTGGTGACAATCGATAAGGAAACATTGAATAGCGTGTGAAAATTTAATATCGACTATTCAACAATTATCTAAGCTTAGGATTACGCCACTTTTCATGATATCATCACTATTATTAGTTTTATTAAAATCAGCTGATAGTGTCAAGTTGTATTGTTCATAATGGCTAGTGATGTGATGGTTCGGTTCGATTCGGTTTAACCAAACCAAACCAGGGTACCCTTATGTCAAGCAAAAAACGGATCACCCCCGGATCGATCTATTCACACCGACTCCAGTCGTACCCCGTCCATAAGCAAGCGGATCTATGATCCCGTGCCGCCCTAGTAATACATAAAAAACGGGTTAGAATAACTTAATAAAGTTCGAAAGATTCGAAATTTCTTCCACGTCTCAACGCGTGTGAACTTAGCGTAGAACCTTCCTGATACCTCAGCACTAGAATCTATGAAACGAAATTGGAGCAAAGACAATAATGACCGATGAATATGATCCCAGCATCAACGATGATAATAAATACACAATGCTTTCTTTATTTATTTAACTACAGTGCATATGAAAAAATATTACAAATTTTTTCTAATTTATTAATACCATTTTCTTTTTTATCTAAGGGTATGTTATTTAGATCTATTTTTTGGCGAAGGATCTCTAAATGTTCCAACCATTGATTAATACCATGATTCGCTTCTTCCACCCGTTTTTTAAAGTTGGCATTTCAATATTATATTTGCGCGAAACAACAAATATGTTTACATGGTACCGGTAATATTTTCACAGTTAATTCGTTAACAAGAAAATCAATTTGTCGATTAAGACGGGTCATAAGATAAATGTATTTAATCTTTTTGTGATATACTTTTATGTAATTATTCGTATTAGTCCCACGAACTAGGTTATGATGATAGCATTCTATCCACATTTCTATAATAAAGTAATATTAATTACATATTTCTATAATAAAGTAGAATAAATTTAAATATGAAATAAAAAAATAATCACTTTTCTTTTGTCGATACTGAGTGTTAAAATATTGATGTGCGGGTGTATGCTGCCATTTTTGCTCGAATGTAACTATAGCGGTATCTACATTAATTTCATCTTTAATCTTGAGCAGTTGATCTAAATCCTGAAACAAATGTCTTAAGAATCCGCCAGGGCGACCACCGAAATTTCGGGTCACGTGATATTTTTTGATGACGTCAACGATGCGAAAAGGGTTAGGGGGTCAGCTCTGGGTCAAGGTTATTTGGCAAACAAAAAAAAAATGTATTTATTGTAAAATCTCGCAGTGAACATTTTTTATTAGAACACTTGAGATAAAAGCTTTTTTTCAAAAAATATGTCTTAATTTTTGTGTTACACGTTGATCTTGCAATTTAATTGGTCATCATCGCTGACATCATCAAAAAATTGTCACGTGGCCCGAAATTTCGGTGGTCGCCCTGGTGGATTCGTCTTTTAATGCATGAAGCCATATTTTAATTGCTTTGCTATTGCAAGACTCTGTTAATAGCCATGCTAATGGTACACCATGACCACTATAAGAATGCCAGATTAGAATCGTAGAGCATAGTTATGACAGTTCGTATTATGCATAGAATCTATATGTATAATCTATATTAAGGTTAATAAAATAGAAATTAGGTAAGTACCTCATGATATTTTTCATATAGTTTAAATTGCCAAAATGTATGAAATCCAAGCATAAATTTTGTTCATCACGCTTTTGAAAACATGAGAGCATGGGATCACTTAAATTGTCAAAATCTCGATTCATTGTTGTATATATACTATTTATTTCAAGGCTATTGTAACGATATTTCATATGAATTTCTTTATATATAATATAAATATCTTCATATCTTTATTTGGAACAATATTCTTTGAAGTAAAGTATCTATAAATTTTAGTCATGTAAGTTACATATAAAAGAACTTGAATTTAATAGTATTAATATTGTATATCTTTCCGTTAATTGACGAATTACTGAAAGAAATAATTCTTGCTGTACAAATTTCCTAATTTCAGCAATAGTTTCTTTTGATTTTTTTAAATATTGAACATCAGCGCGATTACCAGGTATATGCCTATTATGCTTATACCAATAATAAATTACAACGAGCTCATTAGAAAAGATTGATGGCTGATAATGAATGTGTAATGTGCATTGACAGCCAATTTTTTTTGATTCCTTTTGTATACGCCTTTTTTTTTGTGAATGATTCCCCTTTACATGGTCATTACATACTTGCTTACTACTTGCACACGAACAAAAATAGTATTCAGACCAAGCTCCATATCTATTTTTATAGGTTCTGTTGTGTTCCTTTACAAAGTTTATATTTTTTGATCTTTTCTCCAATTATGATATATATCAAGAGGTAACATAAATCTGCGATACCCCTTCTTTTCTTCAAGAACATATAGTAATTGTGTATCAGAATGAATTTGGACATAATTTATTATCTTTGCTCCAATTTTATTTCATAAATTCTAGTATTGAGATCTCAGGGAAGATTCTACGCTAAGTTCACATGCCAACAACATTGAAATGTGAATGAAATTTCAAATCTTTCAAACTTTATTACTTTATATTATCAAGTTAAGTATATACTTATCTGCGCCAAACTGCGCCTTATTCATTTCTAGCAGGATCAAACCGATTCTCTTCCACAAGTCACGTTTCCATGGGACAATATTCCGAATATACGGATGAATATGAAACATACTGGGTCGAATTTATGGCCCTTTTTAATAAATTCAAGTTTGCATCTTAATTTTTCGTGAAGTCAGGCCGATATCATATGATCTGAAATCTATTGTTTGAATAGAATATTTATACTTTGTGATACTAATAGTGCTAATATATTATATTAATTTATGAATGATAATTTGCTTTCCAACTAGTCTAAACATTTTAATGAAACACTACCAACTATATCCCATCAGGTCATCACTAGTCCTCTCGAATAGGAGAACACTCTTGACTTCAACATTATTTATACCTTTCTTGTGAAGTTCTTTGTCAGGTTTACCTGGATGCAGAGGAAGTCTGCCTGATAACTTGGATACCATCGTTATCCTCGTCCTGTAATTGTTTAATCATGTTTGCTGTATTTATCAAACCTTCCTGAATAAAATGAATAGAGATCAATAAGTAAGAAATAAAAAACATCTGCAAAAACAGTTAAAATATACTTTTAGATCCCAGAGCAAGACCACAAAATCAAAAAGATGTTTTTTCTGCTCTTCATAGCAGATCGGAACAATTGCTTTGTGCGTACGCTCCCATTGTAAAATTCCTCGAGCACGGTTGTGCATTTGTCAAATTTCAATTTTGTCTTGTACAGTGCATCATATAACAATATAACAAGTGAAAAAAAATTACGGTTCGTAAAGCAAGTGGCCTTCCAATCCCGTAAGAAGTTCTATGATACAAGGATGAATTATATATGCACCATAAGAAGCTTCCGACACTCCAATTTGTTGCATAATAGATTGCTGTGGAAAAACAAATTGATGACTGAAAATATTTTAGTTAGTGGGTGGATTTGGAAAGAAGTCGAATAAAAAAATAAGTACTTACAACAGAGACAGTATCTTAACAAAAAATGATGTCAGAGCATCCGGAGGTGCTGATATTAGACTTAACTGCTTTACCTCTTCCAAATTGTCGTTCAGCTTCATCAACTCCTTTATTTTAATTTTGTTTAGTTCCTTTCCTAAAGCCGCGAGAGACTTCTATAATTGCACATTTTTATAGAAATTTGAGAAACTGAATAATCATATATCGATATGAAGATAAAGTGTACATTTTTCAGCAAACTTGCAATAAACTCCGGAGGATTAATAATACTACGCCGTTTTATAGCTTTCTGTATTTCAACATATTCATGTTCTTCACACCATTTGGGTTTTGCGACTTTTAGTCCACAACGGACTATACCCCATACTTCTGGTCTAACATGGTTTGAAAAATTAATGTGTTGCGAACACAAACTGGCAATATCAGCTATAACTAATCTCATAAAATGACCGTTAATGCCAGCCGCCACTTTTAAAAGATCGATTACTTTCAGGCCAGACTTTAGAGTCCATTCATTGTAGTCAAAAGGATGCTCACTACTCTCAACATCATATTCCTTATCAGTCACTACGAGAAAAAGTTCTGGATCCAATATTTGTCCATCATATCCGGCGGAAAAATCCTTTACCTGAAGTATCAAAACAAGGAAATTTAATTCAACGATGCAGCCATATTGTATATAATGGATTAAGACGATTAGATCCACCTTCTCCACTGAATCCTGTTTACGTGGTCTCTTATTTGGAGTCTCTTCATTTTTATTGACTTCATTCAATTTTGTTTAAAGTAAGGGAAAAAAGCAGTTAATATATAACAACTATTGAAACTAAAACAGCAATCAGTTGCAAACCTCAAAAAGCGCTCGTTTGTTCTTTCTCTCAGCAAACTCTCCTTCAAAGTCTAATAAAACTCCTTTATTCATAGTACTTGCATATTCTTGATTTTCTTTTGCAGTGCGTACCATTCCACTTATCTTTTTTTTTGCATTGAAAAAAGTTTGAATAATAAATTATACGGAAGTAGAGGGTTCACACATGTCACAATAATTTCATGTTTTCGAATCTACCTGAACATGTTTCAGCTTCGCCTTTTCCAACTCGGTCTTTTTCGAGTATACATCAATTTCGACGGATTTCCATATGTTATCGATGGTACTTCCCTTCTTACGTTTTTGCTATACAAACAAAAATTTGTAAGTTTCAAATTCAGACAATCTGGTGAAGCGATTAGGAGACGTGTGGTGTAAATTCAGTTGTGCAGCAATAAGCCATGACGATCTGAAGGCAGATCATAAGTAGGATTAACATGCAGTTGTCCCCATAGTCATGGATGGCTAACGCACAATTAAGGAACCCCATTCTACCAGCAAAATTGGCAGACCACAACGAACAAACAGATCATCAGAGGTGCAACAAACAGGAGCACGTCCTTGTCATGGAGAAAGCCAAACCACAACTAACAACGCGGTTGCTGTGGCCACGGCCCAAGGGGACCTTTATCTTATCGCGACACCATGTCAAAACAAATAAACACCCGCCTTTGCTTTTCTTAGAAGATTTTGGCTTTTCTGACTTAGGAGATAAAGCAGCAATATCTTCAAGACAATTAATAAGTTTGATTTTAGCCTTCTGGTAATCGAGCTTGCTGGGGTCCTCTTGGTAGTTGTGTATCCAGTTTCGGTAGAACTCGACAACATCCCAATCATTACAACCTGTATCCTTAAAGTACGAATTTTGGTTTTCAGTCATAACGTTTCTTCAAGAGATTATTAAATAACGCGAAAAGTAAATTCCAACTGATAACCGTGTCGCGTATTTTATACTTTTATACTATTCCCCTGAATGATCATCAAGAATTTCAACTTTTTCAGAAGGATATCACGAGAAATCGATACAACCCGGATATGATAAGTTATGTACACAGGAACACGCACCTGATAATCAAGCGAATAATTTTCCCGTGATACTATTTTTTTTGATATACGTCATGGCAGATCTGAAAATAATTTAGCCACTATAGCGAACTCGGATCTAATTTAACCGATCCAAAATCACGTGTTTTTCCTGTCGCCCATCAGCGAAATTTGAATCCTAGTTTAAGTTAATGGTCAATGAGTAGGTATAGATCAGACATTTTTGGCATTATTAATATTATTGATGTTTTTGGAATTAATGTTTTGAATTTTGTTTGTTAATTTTTGCTTGTTGCTTAACTTGTTTAATTTCAAATTCAAGCAAGTGTTATGTTTATAAGAAAATTTTTATGAAAAATTAATAATTTTAATTATTAATAGAACAATATTAAAAGATGAAAAAAGAGAAATAAGAGAAAAATTTCAAATTTTAATTACTAAAAATAAAAGAATAAAAAGATATAAAAGAGATAATAATAAAAGAGATATTTTAAAATTGAAACAATAAAATCTATTGTAAAAGAAAAGAATTAAGAGGCATCAATTTTGGTATAGATAATACAAATTAATAAATTTATTTGTAAAACCAAGTAATTTTGGATTTAAGAGATTAGTATCACTATAATATGAACTAATTATTATATCAATTTTTCAAGCTATTGTGTTTAGTTGCACAATTTGCATGATCTCATCTATAATTCAAAGATTTATATGATTGGCTACATAAATATCATTCTTTTTTTTTCTATTTTCTTTTATTATTGTTATTTTGTTATAAAATTATTTCTATTTATTGTTTTATTATTTATAAATAAGTCACTAAGAGCAAAAAAGAGTTGAAAGAAAATTTTCTCTTGTTCTTCTATATATTTTCTTTCTTTTTCTCTATAGTCATCACTATCATTTTTATTATTACTTGTTTTCTTAGTTATCATTATTCAGGAAATGCTAATCATATTTTATTTGTTGTTTTTCATGTTTTCTTTATTGTTAATATTTTGTAAAATCTGTTAAAAGATTTTTAGTATATAGTTATTTTCTCTTTTTTTCTTTTATAAATTTCTTAATTACTTAATCAAGTGCCAAAAGATTTAGTAATCTTGTAACTATTAAAATTATTAATAAAGTATTTCAATTTATATTAAAATATATAACTCACTTTGAAGTGAATTATATATTTTAATATGAGCTGAAGTATTTCATTAACAATTTTAGTAATTGTAAATTCAAATTAAATTTCAGTATAGTTTTCAAACTAATTATATATTATTGGATCAGAATTATCAACTTTAAATAAAGATGCTGGAATCATTGTGAATTTTTCAAGATGAAGTAAAACTTCTCCATTTTGTAAAGAAATATTTTTCTAGCTATAAAGAAAATAATATAAATTCACATTTTCATTATAGTAATAATTAGAATAATTTTCTTTTACTTGGAGCAGATTTATTTTTTCTTCATTATTTTCTTTATTGATTAATTGTAAAATAAAATCTTCTTCTACTTGATATGAATTTGTTTTCTCTTCATCATTATCATTATCATTTTCATTTAATAATTAAATAATAAAATCTTTTTCTTTTATTTCTTTATATTTACTATAATCTTTATAATTTAGATAATATCTATTTTTATATCAATGACAAAAATTATTTCTTAGACTATATTCTCTATTAAAGTATTTTAGTTTAGTTTTATCTTTATATTCAATTATTTTTGTTATTTCTACATAGTTTCAATATTTGTGTTCATAATAAGATGAATCTCTCTAATAATTTGAATAACAAATATATAAAATTCTAGAGCATTATATTAAAAAAATACTTTTTAAATACTTGAATTTAAAATAATAATATTTTTTAGGTGAATTTATTTTAAAAGTTATAATTCATGTTCCAGTAATAATAATATAATCACATAAACTTAGTTTAATAGTCTTATAATTAGATAAATTAATCTTTTATAAAAATATATAGATTTGATAATAATCTTTAATAATATATCTTTAACCTTTTACTATTAACTAATATTTTCTATTTAGTATTTTTAATTTATATTATCACCATTTGATATTTTGGATCATATATAAAATATCATGTGATATATTTTGATAATTATTTATATTTTCTTTTATATTTTTTTCTATTTATAATTTTATTTTTAATTAATTATTAATTATTTAATTTATCTAATTTACACATAATTTATCAAAAA